ACTTTTTAAAAAGTGGCATCGATCGATTCAACTTCTGAGTGACCCAAATATTGATATCGTTAAAAGTTGTATTGTACTTGCCGCGATATTGTATCGTAATTACGATTCCGCAATTTATAAATTATAAAATATTATAAATTTTTCAGTAGCTGAATGGACACGGTGGCTCGGGCAAGGCACGACGCATGGATAGATAAAAATTTCTGACAAACAGGAAACGTGCGGCATGGGTCTGCCGCGTCTCTCCCTAAAGGGATATTTTTTCTACGTGCTATGCTCGTCTGGTCTGTTGTTGGTTATATTGAATCTAGTGCAGGACGAAATATGGCACCGTATGCGACCTCATCCTGGACGAACGCCACCCGTTCGCGTTTCCGACAACACAAAGGTAATTCGAAATTAATTTTTATAGTTGTTGATCAAACAATGATATTTAGAGAGAGAGAGAGACGTCCTACTCAAATGCCAATTACAATCCAGCGATAAATTCTTAAGCATTTCATTTCGTTTTTAAAATAATCTCAGGGATATTTTGGATTGTGAAGATTAGAAAGAAATTGTTGTATTTTTATATAAAATATCGGAGAAGTATTGTCACTATGGATTATTTGGGGAGTGGATAGAATAGAAAAAAGAAGTACAATTCTAATAAGATGATGAAAAAATCAATTTAAATATCGAATTTCGATCGCAGATCAAAGAAAATTGGCCTGCAAAATTGAAGAAACCGACAATGCAGAATCGGGAAAAAGTGAAGGAAAAGCTTCCATCCGAGGTATAGTTATCAAATTGCATTGTCGATAGATGATTGCAACATAGTATGAGCGTGAAACATAACCGAGACAACCTTTACATCGTTTTATTATTGAACATTTTTATAATATAATTATGGAACTTTTTAAACAATCTTATGAAGTACAATATTAACTGAATCCATTTGAAGGAAAAAAAAGTTTCTATTTTTATTTCTGGTATATTGTTGTAATATATATAAAATTTTATATTGTAGTTTTTTCAAGATATGAAAGAATATTAAATACATTGAAATGTTGACACGAGTAAATATAATCTGATCTTATATGATTGGCTGGCAATAGTGATACGTTATTAATAATTATTTATTTTTCAAATATATACAAAAAACCGGTTTAAAATAAAGTGTCTGGAAAAAATAAACGAGTCGATAAATATCATTGAATCTATTTTTATAATTTTTTGTTTCATTGGTGATTCGTATCGTTAATGATTTTTCATTTAATAAAGAATATTTAATACAGGTGATTATTATCGACTTAATATACAAATATTATTAGTCAACAAAACGATATTATTTTTTTCCCCTGCTGCAAATTAAAATACAACGATTTAAATGATTTATTATGTTTGGTTGTCTCTGTTGTTTCTAAAGGTACTGCTAATACTAGTCCTTTAATTTTGCATAGTCCGACTTGTTTCTTTAGTTATTATGTTTGCAAATTATTATTAGATAAAATACATACATAATTATACGAAATTTTGCTTTTACGCTTATCATTAGATAGTATAAAAGCGTGAAAAGTTGTTTGTATTATTATAGCCATTTCACGAAGCAGATAGAAAATTTCAAAGATAATTCCCGAAAAACAAACTGAAACAAATACAAAAGTTTTATATGTAAAAAAAAATATATTCATATTGAATTTTTAAAATTACAATTATTAGCAATTTAATTTTGTATTAAAGGATACGAGAGAAAGACATGGAATGAGACAATAGTATTCTATATCTAATAACTATCATTTCTTTCAAATCAAGTAAATAATAAATTCATATAATATTCGATAAGAAAAAAAAAAGATTGATTATTTGAATTCTGAGTAATTAATGGTAAAATTGAACGAGAATTGATAATAGAAAGCAATGATAATAGAAAATGGATTCTTTTGTTAAAAAGGTATTCAACTTAACTGGCACCACGACCTTATCACGAAACAGTTTAGAATCCTTGGATCCATCAAAGAGACCTTGGTACATGAAAGGAGGGAGCAGAAGGCCTTATCCTGCCATAAAATCTCATCGTACTGGTCGAAGATTGGCGCGTTTGTGGCCCGACGAAGACGCTTATGATGATCGTGTTACTAATCAAGTGAGATTCAATATATTTCAAATATATTACTTAAATATACATAGATATAGATAAAAAAAATTATAGATATTTTTATATCATTATAATTATTTACAAATTATTTAATACGCCTCATGATTTCAATGCGTTTAATAGAATAGAACATAGAATATATTCAATATTCTGAATAATTTTTATGTAAACGTTAAACTTAAAGACGCCTAAAACAATAATTTCTAATGTCAAAGTTCTTTGAAATTGCGTTATAATTTAACTGTTTGAAACGAACTGCCTAGTTACGACTTTGTTCTACAGCGTGGAAAACGAAAATAGGAGCAGGAACGTTGTACTCCACCTACCCCTTCGAATTGCACAGAGCCATGTACTTTGCAATTCAACCCTTTCTTCTACAACACAATACAGTCTATTATACGCGTATATAGGCCAACGCTTTAAAGAAGCACTGTACACAATCACGAATTTTATACGATTATAATTCATATTTCTTTTTTTTTCCTTACTTTTGTTAACACTTTTCTATAATAAATTTTGACTGTTATTGTTATTTTTTTTAGAAAGTTTTTAATATTTTTTTTTTTTTAATAAAACATTGCTTCTGTAATTATTATTACCAATTCATTACATTCGAGGTAATGAAATTAATTTTTCGTATCAATTTTACAGTTAATGTACGTGCCCACTGATTATAACAAAACCAATGGCGATCGTCCATTAAAGAAAATAATGGTTCCACATGGTATGCCCGAGGCAAAAGTTGGCCCCGATATATTTGTTCAGCATCGATGTCCAGTCAATACATGTACAATCATCAGGGATAACGCCGAAGAGGCCGACTTAATTTTATTTCAAGATTATATAACGCATGTGGGAAGAAGATCTTCGAATCAAGTATGTAAAAATAATGTCAAACTGTTAGCTCAGAAATTATTAGTTTTTTTTTTCTCGAAGCGTTAATTTTATGGTTGCATTTGATTTAATTTCAATTTATACGAAAAAAAAAAAAAAAAAAGAAAAGAATTGAATTTCACTTTTATCGCTAAGTTAAGTTCAGCTAACTTTAAGCTTTATTCAGAGTATTGATCGTGCCCGTCGCCACAATTTTTTAGACATTTCCGATAATTAAACAGAAGTTAATCAAACTACGGATCCAGATAAAAATTACTTATTACTTTCGATCGAGAACAAGATTTAATATTAAAAATCATCGAAATCATTTATTAGACTAGAATAAGAGAGAAATACATATATCTTAAATATATTACAAATTTTAATTTAATTACTGCTTTCGATCATAAATTTGTTTAATTGGATAAAATTGATTCTTTTTTTTTTTTAATAAAAAATAAATAAAAAATAAATTAGCATTACGCTGTTATAGAAAATTTAATAATATACTTCGAATGAGACTGATCTACGATTTTCAGCAGGTGTGGATGCTGTATTTTTTAGAGTGCCCTTATCACACGCAGAGCGTGAAGAACGCTATCATCAATTGGACGGCAACTTATCGTCGTGACAGCGACATAGTCGCACCCTATGAAAGGTGGCAATATTACGACCCTAGTATTACTCAAATACCGCAGACTTTTAATTATGCAGCCAACAAAACTAAAAAGGTAATAACGTTCTCGTTTCACGTATTGATTTTCACATAAATGTCTTCGTATTTCTTTGATCACGATTATTAACACGTTCAATACGGTTAATTAAAAAAATCAAAGGAAGTTTTTTTAAAGGAAAATTTTCAATTCTTTTTCATCTTCCACATTTTTTTTCAAATATCCTCCATAAAGCATTGAATATGTTAATAAAATATCCTCTCTGACAGAGAAATATATGATATTTTGAAATATATCCTAGAAGGTAATTATATGTAAATTCTTTGATCTAGGTAGCCTGGTTCGTTTCCAATTGCCATCCTCGGAATCAACGTATGCATTACGCTAGAGAATTGTCGAAATACATCCAAGTTGACATTTATGGGACCTGCGGTACTTTAAGATGTCCACGCTCGCAGTCTCAAGCGTGCTTCGATATGCTCGATGAGGACTACAAGTTTTATCTCGCGTTCGAGAATTCCAATTGCAAAGACTACATCACGGAAAAGTTCTTCGTCAATGGTCTTGGGTATGATACGTTTCACTTAATATACCGTTATTACACACACGTGCAGCTTGGAACTGCTGATATGAATAATAATTTTTTTGATTTTTATGAACCGTGATATCATCTTTTATGAAATATTATATGTATGTGAATGTATACGCGAGGTTTTAAAGCACCACTTAAAAATTTCGCTGGGTTGTTGCCATAATTGCCAAAGTGTGCTTCACGCTTGATTGTTACCTACACCCTTATTTAGTGCACTTTGGTATATGTAGAGGTCCTCAAGATTCCCTCCTGCCCTACTCTCTCTTAAAGTGTTATTTCCGTTGAGATTTTTGGAATAAGAATTATTGTTGCCAAAACTTCAAGTATCGTCCGATCTTTGGAATATCGAAAATAATATTTTCTCATTATCTACTATTTCACATTTTTTTTTTTTTTACGAACAACTTAAATATTTTACGTTATTTTCGCCAGATATCTTAAAGTTATTTACTTAAGCAATTATTTTGTCATATTTTTTTTTATCGGAACAATATTTCGGAGTATAAAAAGTTTATACACTCTTCATTGTTTTCAAAGCAGAAAAAAAAAATAATTGAACACGTTATAAAATAAAGAAAATACTCCACTTTATAATTTTCCAATTTTCCAAAATTTTAATAAACATTTCATAATTATATAATATTTTCATTATTATCACCACTTATCGGATTCCATTTATCGGAACGTAATAAATTTCTAGTTTTCTAATTTCAGACACAACGTTCTGCCAATTGTAATGGGTGCGCATCCAACGGATTACGCTCGAAGCGCACCATATCGCTCTTACATCCATGTGGACGAGTTCGAATCGCCGAAAGAGCTCGCCGAGTATCTTCATCGTTTGGATCGAGACGACGAATTGTATAATTCGTACTTTCGGTGGAAAGGTACCGGCGAGTTTATCAACACGTACTTTTGGTGTCGGGTGTGCGCCATGTTGCACGACGATCGGCCGCCAAAATTTTACAAGGACGTGAACGATTGGTGGAGAGGCGATGGGATATGCACAACTACTTCCTGGCGCGAACACGATTCGGTTCGCGCGGGAAATTTAAAAAATACTTGAAAAATT